TGAACTGTCTAGTACACCTTTATCCCACCCTTCCCTCAGGGCAGCAATCATTGTTCGCTCTTCCTTGTTGTTATCCTCACAACAGCCCTGTGGTGTAAATTGGGCCGAGAGTGCAGCTTGACTGGTCCAAGGTCCCCCGAGAACTTCAGAGCAGTGTGGTTTTAAACCTGGGTCCTCGTGCTCTGACAGATACACCAACCTGGCAGAGTTCTTCTGATCCCCGGAGGGCTTTCACCAACTGTGGTTCTTTTAACGGGAATAATCAGTCACTGGGAGGTTTGCCAGTCCCCCACCACCACCAAGGCTCCTATCAGTTCAACAGGTAGACAACGAGCAGGGGGAATTGTTTGCTGTTGCCGCTGCATTCAGGGGGGGAAACTGCCGTAGTTAGATTTCTGCCATTTCCGTAGCTATTAAAGGCAGCAGTGGCACTTTGTGGAGGAGGAAGTGTTTGCTGTTGCCGCTGCATTCAGGGTGGGGGGGAACTGCCGTGGTTAAATTTCTGCCATTTCCGTAGCTATTAAAGGCAGCAGTGGCACTTTGTGAAGGAGAATAAGAAACTGGTAGTTCGTGTGATGGGAAAGCCAGGTGTCTCTCCTGGAGCGAATGCTTCTGTTGCCGACCAAAATATAATCCTCTTTTCTTCCCCCCCTCCCAGTACTTTCTTGACAATTTTTCGTTCACATTGTGTAGATTTTAAGATCTTCTAAGCGCATGTTGGAGAGCGGCTTGTGAGATCAGCAGTGGTGCTCCCCCTCTTAGACCATCTTTCATGGACTTGTTGACATTTATTTATTTATTTTCGTGGGTTTTTTTGTTTTAACCCTGAGAAGTTGTACAGTCCTCTCATGGGGGGGGGGTGCTTTCTTGGAATTTCTCTCTCTCTCTCTCTCTCATATATATAATTTATTTGTGTTTTTTTTTTTTGTTTTAATCCTGAGAAGTTGTACAGTCCTCTCAATGGGGGGGGGTGTGCTGTCTTGGAGTCTCTCTCTCTCATATAGCCTTAGGGAGTCCTTCCCTTCCTTGCAGCCTGAAGGGGTGATGCTCCTGCCCTCTTTCCTATGGGGGGTGAATGGTGTGCAGCGAGGCTGGTTCCAGGTTTCTCAACCCTGCTGTTGGAAGCCAAGAGAATCGCCAAGAAAATCCCACTGTGATGCTTACTTGAGTCCTTTTGGAGTTTGTTTCTCAGGAGGGCTATTCCTCTTTTGAAACCAATATTGTCCATCAGTCAGCCAGCATAAATTGTCAGCAGATTTCCTGTCAATAAATCAGTCCTGTCCACATACACTGGATGTGTTGTTATCCTGCCAATCTTCCAGGGACCTCAGAGCAGTGTCTGTGGTTCTCCTTTCCCCACCTTATCATGACAACAACCCTGTGAGGGAGGATGTATTGAGAAAGTGACTTGTGCAAGGGCACCCCAGCAAGTTTCATGGCAGGGAGGGGATTTGAATTCTCATCTCCTAGTTCCCGGCCCAACACTCTAACCACAATTCCTGGTGAAAGACTCAGATCTTTGACAGCCTGGAAAGAGCTGCGGCCTCAATTTGCACTCTGTAAAATGGGGAGAGTTTACTTATGGAGGAATCCCTTTTGCGTTTGACCATTTGTTACCCTAAGAATTGTGCTGGCACACAGAACCAAAGAATCATTTTCCTGGGCTTGGTAAAACTGCATAACCCTTCCCTTCCCCCTTGCCTGATCTGATCCCATCCCATTTCGTGGGCAGTAAAAGAAAGGGCATCTCTTTTATTTCTGAAATGTCGCTGACCCCATGAGCTTGCAGCTGCGATTCTTATCCCATCCTTCAAGCTCTAGGTAAAGCGTGCCTGCCCCTCTCCCCCCCCCGCCCCCACCCCCCCCATGCCTGGGGGCTACTGGTACTGGCAAGAGCTGCACAACAAAAAAAGTCTGAGGCTCTCACCAAGAAATATGAAGTTTGTGGTGTCTGGCATTATTGTAAATAAAAAAAACAAAAACCCACCTCTCAGTCAGGGATGTTGGGAATTTAATCTGTCCTCCGTCTTTAGAGGTAAAGGTAAAGGTTCCCTTGCTCGAATAGAGATGGGAGCTCACTCCGTCATGCGGCACACTCGGGTCTCGAACTGCTGAACTGCCTTTCACAGCCTGCAGTTCAGCATCAATCCAGCAAGAGAAACCTGATGAGACAAGTGACACGGGAGCACGTCCATGTGAGCCCTGGCTGCATCGAAGAGTGCTCTTAAATAATGCATACATTAGCTTTGTGCCCGAAAGAGATTTGTTTGTTGTGTTAAGAGGAGCCTGGTTCAGCCAGATTGTTCTTTCCCTTTGCCCTAAAAAAAAAAATCCCTCTCTTCCCACCCCCATCCCCACCCCCACCCCCCTTTCTTGCTGTGAAATGCTTAGTGGCTTCTGCTGACCTTTGGGAGGGAGATGAAAGCAGCTCCCTAATCCCCTCTGGCCAGTGCCGCCTGACCGGGAGCAGTGGGCTGTTGTGTCCAGTGCTGGTGGTGGGGGCTGATGCTTGCTGACTCTCACTCCAGCTCCCCAAGTCATGCCCGGGGCTGCTTCTGGGGTCCCCTGAACCCCAGTGGTAGTTTTTCAGGGAGCCCTGTTGCCTGCATAGAGAAGGGGGCGGCCGAATTGGGAGCTGGGAGACTATTCCCCAGGTTAAGCAATCCGCAAAGCCCCTTCCCTCTGAGCTCAGAACAGCTACCAAGTAGCTACTAACAAGCTGCGTTTAGACGCCCTGTTCAGATTTGTGCTTTCTTAAAAAGAAAATACTCTAGTTATTGATTTTTCAATGTAACATAGAACAACAAACTGTTTACAGATTCCAATTAGCTATACGGCGGAAAGCACTGAAGTGAGCCCGAACGGTCCTCGAGGAATCTAGCCCGGAATAGTACACGAACAGACTCCACGATAGTGAATGTCGTCCCTCTTCCCGGGAAGGTGTTTTGCCCCAGTGGTTCTTGCTTCAGTCTGGCTTGTACCCGCAGAACGTAACTGCGGCACGGAGAGCTGGCACAGCTGCTGAAAAACAGGTTTCTGGATTGCTGGGAGATCCTGGGGGGGTCTGCTCATGGGTCTAGTGCTGCTTGAGGAGGGGTCGTCGTGGCTCTGTGGTGGAGCATCTGCTTTGAGTGCCGAAAGTCCCAGATCCAAAGCTCAGGTGCTGCTCAGGGAGAGCCGCTGCCCGTCAGAGAACACAGTGCAGAGCGAAATGGTTTTATTGAGCTCAACACAGCTTCCTACGTTGCACACTGTGGTTCAGTGGTCAGGCTTAGAGATGTAAAATTTCCGGAAATTTTGAAGCTCAGAAAAAAACCCGGTTTTTTTCCGGGTTTTTTCGGGAAAAAACGGAAATTTTCGGATTTTTTTTTTAAATGCTACATTAGCATTTCTTTTGTCTTTTCTAGATTGAAAGTCATTCTGTTACTTTAGGAACATAAAATATGACTATGGACATTTTTACTTGGCATGAAATTATTACAACTAGCATATTAAAAATATAGTGTATCCAAACAGTTATTACAAACAGAATACCCGCCCACATGCAAAAACAAAACTGAAACCTTTTTCTTTTCTCGTGACAATAGCACCTCCTAAAGAAAGAAATGCATCTTGTTCTTGCATTGGAGAGTTCAGTTTGTAACCTAGGACTTGCTTGTCCTCAGTGCACAGAAATTAGATCAATCTGATGTCATATATATATATTTTAGAAATGATTTGGAAAATATTTGAACACCTTGTCTTAAAATATTTTATTCATCATGTTAAAATAAAACGTTCCATAGTCAATTTATTTTATTTTATTTTTTCAATTTTTCGGAAAAAAACAAAAAAAACAAAAAAGGCTTCAGGGAAAAAACGGGAAAAAACTGGGTTTTTTTCCGAATTTTTCCGGTTTTTTTCTGGGCCTTCACATCTCTAGTCAGGCTCATGTTGTGCAGGCAGAAGATTCCAGGTTCAGAGCTCAGCTGGTGGGAAAGATCTTTCTCTGCCTCAGGCCTTGAAGGTCACCTGTCAGAGTAAACAGTACTAAGCTGCATGGACCAGTGGCCTGACCTGGTATAAGATGGTATCATAGGTTCATCTTCCAGCTTTGAAGTATGGTGCGACTTGTGGGGGGGGGGGCACACTTTCAAAAGGGTTGTTTAGCTCGTAGTAAAGCATTGTAATATGCTTATGCCCTCTGTTTTCATATGTGGACCTCTGGAGACTTTTCGTTCTGTCTGTTTTCTCTGCTGGTGTTCCGCGTTCAGGGCTGGCTCACTGTCAGCAAGCTGCCAATGTGTTTCCCTTTACTCTGTGTATGCTCTGAGGTTTCACTAGGCTCTGTATGTATTCTTATGTACCCTTGTGTTTCGGTATGCGCTTGTTTGCTTTCACTTTCCCATGTATGCCTGTTTATACGCTTAATTGCCTAGTAACAGGAACGTCCGTATCTCTCAAGGCCGCAGGTGGTTGCTGGAGTATCGTAGTTTGGGTGATCTCATGGCGTTATCCATGAGAAGCAGCATGTTATGAGTAAGTAGGAGCGTTGCTTCCCAGCTCAATGGCGCGGGGGGGAAATCCCGCAATTGGGCCTCAGCTTTTTGAATTTCCTATAATCTGTTGGGATCCATGCTTATTCCTCATTCTGAACAGTGATCCTGTTTTGCACCTTTTGCTTCAAATAAAGAAACCTCTTTTCTGCAAGTGTGTTCTTAGTTGATGCGATGGGAGTTTGACATTCACCCACTAGGCAAACTAGGCATTTGCCTAAAAAATGACTCCCTTCCGTCCTCCTCGGGAGCCCCCCCCGGGGGCTGGTCTCCTCGGGCGTAGGGGGGAAGAGCCAGCGCGGCAGCCCCCCGGCAAGACGACGATGACGACTGGCCCGCCACCGGCAGCCCCAAGCCACCCTCCCCCACCGACGCGCCACCCCTCTGCCCGACCCGCTCTCTGCCTCCTGGCCCGCCTCAACCCTGGATGCTGGGCGCCACGGGGAAGGAAAGGAAGCGGCGCACATGGCTGCCCGGGCCTGTCGACTGGCCGTTGGGGGAGGAGGAGGATCCAGTCACGCGGATTTCCGCCAGCCTCGTTTCTTGCAGCCAGGACGCCTTTGGGGCCCTGGGGAGAGGCCGGAGCGCACCTTTGCCCACTGTGGAGGCTCCCCTGGTGGCGGCTCCCCCGGCGTGGCTTTTGGGGTGGGGAAGGCGGAGCAGAGGAGAAGCCCGGCGCTGCTTGGGAAGCACGCCCGCTCCACTCCCCAGCCTCTCCGGACCCAGGTAAGAACAGTCCCAGCGCTAAGAGCCTGCCGCCGGCTGCAGCGGATCACGGACTTCCTTCTCTACAGACCCCACCTGGAGGTTGGCAACCCTGTAATTGGGCATGTGTGGGGGGGCACCAGAAGGTAGCCCCGCCTAGGGCACAAAAAAACCTCGGGCCGGCCCTGTCCGCGTTTTGCTGCTGTTATTATTTTTTTTAAAGCCATTTATATGGGGGGAAATAGTGCTTAAAATTTGGCAGGCAGTTTCAGTACAGGGAAACAGAAAGTGCTCCTAGGTTTGCTTTGCACAAGGCGGAAATCAAAATGGGGATTTCCAAGTTGAATGAAAAGGGATGAGGGACACTGGAATATCCATTTTATTGAAAGTTACTTGAACTGGTCTGAAGTTTCAAAACAGTGGTTGTAGCAGTTGTTTTCTACCAAGAACTGGCCTAAACTGTGATGCATTCTCAGAAACTTCTCATCTGTCAACGACAGCACAGGGCTTCCACAACTGATTCTAGCTAGATGCTTGGGAAAGTCCTGCATTGCTACAGTGCCACAGACAGAATTCCAGTTTTGTTCAGGGGATCCATAATGTGTTTTTATTAAATGCAGAACAATGGCCATGGACTTCACCTCAGCAGTTTTTCCTCTTGGCAATTCCCCCTCCCTCCCCCAGCTCCTTCCAGCTACCTTGACGGTTTGAATCCAGTTTTAACCAGGTTAAAATTACAATATTTTCATCCCAAAGCCACATTATTCCATTTACAATTATTTTTCTAATGCAGAGTTATTTCATTTATCAGGTACAATGACTTTTTACAAAATTCATTCGCCACTGCAAAACCTTTGAAAGCAAACTGCATGAATGTGAATTTCCTGCCTAGATGACCCTGGTGGTCCCGTCCAACTCTATGATTCTATGAACCTGTTAAAAATTCCCCTACGAACTCACAAAGAAGCAGGGAGGATTTTGTGCTCGGGGTAATTGGCAGACAATCCCCATTGCATTTTTAGCCATGGTTTCAGGTTCCCGCTTTTCAGTTCCGGTTTTGGAGACTTGTTTCCATTTTGTATGCCTGATACAAGATTTTTGTTCAAGACTGATAAATACAATATATTGAGGGCTGTTAGACGAGGAGACCTGAGGCTCAGCTCATGAGTGATGTGGCTGTCAAAAACAACATTTGTTTGCTGACCATGTTCACCCCAAAATTCTCAGCATCCTTCTTTTTGCCTTTGCACGATATGCTTTTGTAATCCTATATTGTTTTCAGGGATGATCAAAAAGCATTGCAGCCGGGGTAGCTGTGCTCCAGTTCATGGCTTTTAAAAGAAATTGGGTGTGTGTGTGTAGGATCTGGGTTGAACTTGTGGGAAGGCCATCAAGGAATTTAACTTTTGAAAAAATTGAGTACTGCCTGTACTGAACTAGGGAGTATTTATTTTCAAAATCTACTTAGCCGAGATGAGTGCAGCCATTTAGCAACTTTCAGCTTGGTCTTCGGCCCTGCTCACTCCTGAGTCCTTTAGATGACTTTGTAGCAATAGCCAGCGTCTGTGTTACTCAGTCACAGTGTTGTCAAAGGGATGTGAAGCAGCCGTAAAGTATGCCTGCTAAAAAATGCAGCAAGAAACAACATGGAACAGCAAAAAAATAGTTTTAAAAAATCACAGAATAAGTGGCACATTCTTGGTGTTCCTTGGTTCTCTCAAGGGATGCAAATGCCCATGTTTGTTGGTGTATCCTGTGATGACTTTTGTTTTCATGAGTAGCTCAATGATTCTGCAGCTTGGCAAATACAAAAATCTGGTGTATGTAAAATATGCGACACTAGACAAATATTCAGGGCTATTTTTTGGCAGGAACGCACAGGAACGGAGTTCCGGCTGGCTCCTGAGTTGGCCACACCCAGCAGGAACTCATTAGCACAATAGGCCACACCCAACAGCAGAAACTCATTAGAATTCTACATTAGGGGTGTGTGGCCTAACATGCAAAGGAGTTCCTGCTACAAAAAAAACCCTCTGGGTTTTGACAACAAGGTATACAGAATAAGAAGCAAAAGGTGGGTGTGGCTGCATGACTATACTTCTGGTAACATGGGGGTGTGGCCTAATATGCTAATGTGTTGTGCTGTCAAGGGTGTGGCCTAATATGCTAATGAGTGTCTGCTATTGGGTGTGGTCTATTGTGCTAATGAGTTCCTGCTGGGCTTTTTCTACAAAAAAAGCCCTGCAAATATTACATGGTACCTCTGTATTTAGCTGCCGCCAGACTCCTGTTAGGGCAATGTTGGAAATCACACAACAGAACCTTCAAAAGAGGAATGACTTTTGAGGGCGCAGGGAACTAACCACATTAGGGAAGTTAACAGGTTTCTGGAGATCTGTTTTTAGATTGCAAACTGAATCCAACTAGAAGGAAAATAATTCAGTGCATAATACTGGTTGACAATTTGTTATTTATCGTGGACCTGCTTGCTGCAATCATTGGACTCCTGAATGTTGTTGACATTCACTGTAAGAGTATACATGCTGTTGTAGATTTTTAAAACATTAAAACCTGCTTAGAGAGTGGAGGAGTGGTGGATTGTGGCTTGGCTTGTGCCACACTGTCACAGGAACACTTTGCACAATTGTAGCACAGGGATTTAATGTTGAAGTAAGTATATTTTGGAGCTGCGGTGGCTCAAGTGGTTAAGACGCTGAACTGCAGGCTGCAGGTAGTTCAGCAGTTCGAGACCCGAGTGCCGCAAGACGGAGTGAGCTCCCGTCTCTAGTTCCAACTCCTGCCAACCTAGCAGTTCGAAAGCAAGAAATTGCAAGTAGATAAACAGGTACCACTTCGGTGGGAAGGTAACAGCGTTCCGTGCGGCTTGGTGTTTAGTCATGCCGGCCACATGACCACGGAAACGTCTTTGGACAGCGCTGGCTCTTCGGCTTTGAAACGGAGATGAGCACCGCAACCCTAAGAGTCGGATTCGACTGGCTTTCGAGCAAAGGAACCTTTACCTAAGTATACTTTAAATGATACGGAAAAGTCAAATGTGAATGTCTAAACTGTGTGGAATATTGTTTTCCTGATGGGTTATATCAGGGGTCATTTCGTAGAAAAAGAGGTGCAGGAGCTCATTAGCATAACTTATTTGCATATGCCATACCTCCTGACATCACTGGAAGTGTGTCAGAAGGCAACACCCACCGCTCAGGCTCCAGTGGACTGTTTTGGATTGCTAGCTATTGCGGGGGGGGG